TAAGCAAAAATAGATGGACTTAAAGCTGAAAAAAGAAAGTTAAAAAACGGTCGAAAAAAGAGGTCACATAGATGATGTATAACTGTTTAAAAATTATGGACAATAAGCAACAAACAAATTAGGAGTTTTCTTTGACGGAATTTTGCCTTCACTACAGTTCTCGGTTTGTCTCGTAGTTAGAAATTCTTGCCCATAACTTTTGAATGATTTTATTGCAATCATCTACAATGTAGGCAGTTTGACATTTCATTCTTGGTTCTTTTGGCAGTCAGTCTTCTGAATTCGTACACTGAATACAAGAATAGCTTTGATACACAAAATTAAAAAGACGGCCCTTTCGATGAAAAAAAATCATCGGCAATAACAACAGAATAAAAACTGAAGCACTTATAAGACCAACAGTCGCCCTTACCAGCAAACTGAAAAACATTAATCTCCATCAGATTATATAGCCTTAGGAAGGTGACGGCTCTACTGTCATACAGACGACTGAATCATCTCCAGCGGCTGCTGGCGGAGTACAGTTCAACGTTGCTAAGATGAGAAGAGAAACAAAAGTCAGATTCGTAAAAGTGAATAGGATACCGAGTTAGATAAAGAACATGCAGCACTTTTAATAATGAAACTGACTGATTATTGGCGTCTTTCAGACAATAAACTGGTACTCTGAAATAGACGTCGATCCAGTAACTGCGGAAACTTATCGTGAACATGACTGAAAATACGAGTAAAAAATTTGACATATCATTTCAGTAAGCCACTGAGTCTGGCGAATACTCGTACGATAGTCGGTTTGGCGGAGGGACGACAAAAGTTGTGGTACGATACTGATTCAACATTTGTTTTGCAGTGTCTCCCGTTCAGTCCTTGTCTGAATAACGATGATTAGCAGATTCTCCTCATCAACGGTTTATGTAGGATCAATTTATTACTTTGTCAGCTGTGTGCTCCATTGTGACCTAAATGGTGTCGCAGTGGTGTATTTAACACTCTTTTTGTACCTTTTCAGGAGAAAAAATTTAAAAAATTTACAGTGGTTGTTGAATTAGTTCCTAGTTTAATGGATTAAAGATGTTTGAAGTGAATTGAAGGATGAGGAGGCAATTAGGCAGCTAAGGATGTGAGAGCTTTAAATATTTCGGAAACTCGTCAGTTATATAATACTTCAAATTTTTGACGATCACAGGGCTAACTTATTCGAATTTGGTATCTTCAGAATTTGAGATAATAACTTTTCTTAGGTTGCGCTTTTCAACATAGTTCCAGGCGTGCATTTGGTTGTCGTCTTTAGTTGACAAAAAAGGCTGTTTTGGGGGCCAAAATTTCTTTCATGAGAAAAGGGACGTTACTTTTTTTTTTAAATTAGAAGTAAAACTTAATTAAAGTTTATAACCTCTAAAACACTGTAGTACCAATTGCCTTTGATGCATTTTCTCAATTATACTTCTTAGACCTGAAAGAAAGCTTTTGATAACGTTGTACGTCACCGTTCGCAATTATAAGTGGCTAAAGAAATAGTAAAACGAAGTGCCACCGAAATCACCCCTGGATTCTGCAAAGAATATATCATCACAGAATCTTTGGGGGCTATCCGGTTTCTTGCAGTTGTCTCTGTTAGGTCATTTCTCGATGAATAATGTGTAGTGCCTGTCCTATTCAAATAGTTTTTGAGAAGTACTGCCAGTTCTATCTGTTTGCAATCACTTAAATAACATTTATTTATGAAATGGACTCGTTCAAGTTGGTAAGCGTAGAGCTGTAATAGAGTGCAATTTTGTGTCACAGTAGTTGGAACCGGAAATTGCTGTTCAGTATTCATTCAAAGTAATGTCCGGCAAATAAATTACCACAGCATGACCTGTGGACCAGAATATTTTTGGTTTTGAAGCTTCGGTAATGAAATCATTTAATGTTTATAAAGACACAACGAATTAGCTGTAAACAAACAAAATTAAAATTTAAGAAACAACAAAATGAGAAAAAAAGATCTAGACCGGAAGTATGAAGGACTGCAAAAAGAATGGAATGACCAATTAGCAGAATAGGACTAACAGCGAAACATAATATCACTGCGGTGACAGGTAAGGTCTTATAAAGAAAAATGACTATAGAATATACTGAAAAATTATTACTTTAATTGGTTTTTCTCTTTTGAGCTTACATTTATAGAAATCCAAGCTACAGTTATATAATTAATCTGCATAGCGGTGAATACACTAAGACGGTGTTGTTTATCAGTTTTACATTAGACGTGTTACTAAATGCTTTATATCTACACCAAACAAGCACATGCTTACTAAGCTCAAAGACTTATAGGAAATTGTACTGCAGTAGGAGTGCGTTTGTCCGAATGGGCATTTAGCAGAAGCCTATTAAAAGTCGTCTGAGTGTTTGTGTTTACGCTCAGACAATAGGTTATAAAATATTCGGTTGATGAACTGAAAATCGTCTTTTTGTGATTTTTATATTTTTTTGTCCATAAGGACTTGAAGTGGTTTTCTGATTCACTGGTAATTTGAGATATACTCTTAAATTTGTGTAAGGATATTGGGTCAATATTTTATTCTGGTAGTATACTTTTTTATGGGTTTATTTTAAGAGAACTTTTTAGTCAACTTTTCGATAGCTTAATAAGGACGACGTCATAAAAAGTCAACGTGTTTTAAGAGCTTCTTACGGTTGATGGATTTTTTAGGATTTTCTTTCTCATTTCTTTATATTTCTCAACCACATTTTCATTCCGATTCCTTTAGTGACATTTGCTTTTATTTAATCAGGAGAATTTTATTGGTTCTGATACTTTAGCTTAACAGTTTTTCAAACTTACTACAGACCACTTACTGAACAGAGGCAATAAAAGTTGTTCTTTTTTCCCTATGCTTTTCAAAACCTTGACTTTTTTTTTTGTACCAAAAAAGTTTAGAATGACATTACTTCAGTTTTGTCAAGAACATAACTATTTTAAGCAAAGGCAGGTTTTTTGGCTCTGAAATCTTGAGAATATTGAAAGAACTCTAGTAATGGCTCAGAATTTTAAAGTTTACTAGTCTTTTATTGTTTCAAAATGAAGTGATTTTGAAATAACACGAAGCTGGTAAAACATTTGTAAAGCAAACAGTATTATGAAACAAGAAGTCAGCAGTTACTACTTAAAAAATGTTGCATCTGAAATACTGTAAATGGAGTTGCTGCCGGATACGCATTTTGCACTACTTATACTTCTAGCTTAAACTGAAATTACAATTAGTCAAGTTAAAAAGTGTGTTTTTCTACGATGTTGTGAATTATCACAACATATCCGGGTGAGAGATAACGATAGCCTCAGATGTAATGTCCCAGTGGTAGACACAACATTGCAATCGGCTTTACATTGTAGATATCGGCACGTCGTTATCAGCTGGCCACTATCACCAAGGTCCAGCGATATCTAATATGAGGACCAGCATAAAAAACCTCGACGAGACAAGGGGATATTTCCTCTGGGCATTGTTGGACTTTGGATACCCACGTTGGATCAGACCTCACGCTCGAAAAGCTTCAGCTCCCATTTTATATCTATTTGTCATCGCTTTTATGAATTATTTTGTAACCGGTATTCTGTTTCTTTCTATTATCTATTGGATCCTTGTACGTATGAATCTTACTCTTTCTATTTACGTTGTGTTTCATTTTGTTCCAGATTATTTGTCAATAAAGTTCAGAATAACGATTGTTAGCCAAACCCAGCAAAAATCTCACATATAATATAAAGTGCCGTGAATTATTGATTAGTAAGACCAAAAACCTCAGGAAAAATTTGAAAGGTCACGACAAGTGACCTCTGTAAATCGTTTTTTAGTTTTAGTGGAAAATGTCAGAGTTTATCTTCTATAAATATTCTCAATCTGTTTGAGTACTTCTGACTAATCCGCAAAAGAATTGGCGTTGAAATTTGAAAAAAAACTTCGTGATAAGTATGAGACAGGATTGAGTGTGCCGAATGGTGCGGTATAACTGGCAGTCTAAAAATTGGAACTGGGCGCCGCAATTACTATTAAAGGCCTGGTCTTTAAGCGTTCATTTTAGAGACAGGTCTTATGACGGGTGAAAGTTTTCTGTTGTTGCATTGATTGCTTTAACTGTGCAGTGTTTTTGATACACAATTCATTTCTGTATTTTAAAAGGGAAATTTGGCTGAGTGCTTGTTTCTACATGCTCTCCCATTGTTAAGTAGGGACTCATCATATTTTACAGATGCTTCAACGAATCATAATCATTATCTGTCCACCGACAGCGGTAGGACATCACTTACTGACTTCTTTCTTTCTTCGTTATTATTGTGCCTGGGTGCAAAAAAATTACAGGAAACATATGAGGGGAGGAGATTAAAGTGCACTGAGGAAAAACAGTAATCCGTCGTCTGACAATGGTGAAAAAATTTCACTGAGAAGACAGAGGTCAAAATTTGGGAAAATTTTGGAGACAGTGCTTCAAAGAGGAAAAGAATGAACGTTCTGTACTAGACAAGTAAAGTCACAATTACTCATCGGGTTGGAAACTTTTAAATATATCGCGAAAGCATATGACAACAAAAAGTAATAGTCGAACGTAACGATATAGCAGTGATAAGGTGATAATGGATGGTTTAAAGAGTGTTTTGTCCATCAAACTTCTTCAGTGGAACACTGCCACTCTTAACTGTCATTTATGCGAGTGAAAAATTACAGTTTTTCTCTGAGCCATTTGACCAAAATCTATTGTAGTTTTTTCGGCTTTCAACATCTATTTCTGCTTCAAATGCTTAATTACAGCGCTCGTATGACTTGCAGAATTTGTAGTCAGTCTTTGTCACGCTTATCTTATTTTATACTTGCTCAACAATAGACAACGTTAAAACTACAAAAAAGACGACTTTCAAATCAACAGCTTGATGTAAAAAATAAAACTTTTTTGGAAAACCAATCTGTTTTCAGAATTCGTAATTGGTAGAAATTGCTGCCTTGCTGCTTAACTAAACTGTCTCTTCATGGAGTACTCTTACAACAGTGACGAAGCAGTAATGAAAGATTTGAATGCACTCACCTCAGTAAAAACTTCTTTCTTCTTTCTACTCTTAGTAAATCAGTTTTATAAAGTGTTTTTCTTCAGGATTCTGTGTAAAAACTGCTAGAGTTTCATGAAGTCATATTTTAAAAACTGTAAATTTTTAAAATACAGACCAGCTGTTAGTTCACTTTTATTCCTGGTGGTACGCACTAGACTAAAAATAGATGTTGCTCATGTCGAAGCATAGTTATTTTTTGTTAGTTTGAAGTTTATTCCTGCAGTGTACGTCTAAAGAGGTATTTCATTATCATCTATTTTACAGTGCATCTTCCCATTCCGAAATTGTTTGTTTGCTCAATGATTCAAGGCTTATGCAAGGTCTTCTTTATAATAAAACCATTTTTTGGTATTTTAGTCTTTTAAAAGGGTCCACAAAAATCAGCAATCGCAATAAAGTTTTATTACTGGATAAAGCACAAAACGGTGTTTTTAAAACTCCATCTTTATTCAGATTTCTTAAATGTTATTCCAGTCTAACCAGTTGTTCATACCTTTACAAATGATGATTGAAAGTTTCAGTTTACTTTTAATTTTAAGTTTTGAGTACCGTTAGAGCTGAAAGTATACATTTAATTCGTAAAAACATTAATAACAATTTTGGAAAGAAGAAAAAGACTTATGAAAACCTAATGCCAACCACAGAGTTCGGTAGACTTTAGGAAACTTCACCCTAATCGCCTTTAGAGAAACAAGATACACATGGCAGCCTCCGCAGGACGCACTGACATTATAGACATCTTGTTGGGCTTAGGAGTCGACGTCAATGCACGAGACGAGAATGAGGTGATATTCCACTGCAAAACTTTTACAAATGAAAAAATGCCTTAACCTGGAAGTTTATTTGTTACATTATAGGTCTCATAATACTGTAAAACCAACTTTTACTTAACCGAAAAAGTCGCTTCAACATATCTAAAACCTGCTACAACATCTTAAAATCTAACACTTAATTTTTTTAGAGCTTTTTATTACATCTTCAAACTTGTAATGGCATCTTTCTTTTTAACCTAAATCAGGTTTAACCTTGTTCTGTCACACTACCAGTATGCTTGTTTTAGGAAAGAAAAAACATTTTTTAAATTGGTATTGTAACCGAATAGTCTGCGTGCTGAAAATACAAGGAAAAATTACTTGTCTTAAAAGCAGCGAACGTCAACTTAACTAGAAACACTACTCACTTTTTATTCAGAGAACACCGTTAATGGAGGCGTGCCATTTTGGTCAACTATGCGTAGTCATACATCTGGTGGACAACGGGGCTCATGTAAATACAAAGGATAAGTCTGGGGTAAGATTCTACTAAAAGGACTGCAGAAGTTTCATTGGAAAAGTTGTTTGCTTTTATGACTAAACTTCAAAAGAAGGATTTGCTGCAAAATCTCTTTCGTGTGGATTTTCAAAACTACTCAAGTTTAGCAGTTTTTCATAACAGTGAAACAATTTTTTTACAGTTTTTTTTTAGCTTTCTCTAGCCTAACTTCTGCAGTACCGACTGTGATGGATATACTATGAGTATTGAGCATAAAATCTGCCAAATTTTCCAGAAACTTTTTGCATTGTTTTTTAGCTTTTTTTCTAACTTTTTAAATAGATTTTCTGTTGCACAAATTGTTTCACTGCCGTTGGCCAAAAAGAATGAGACCAAAATTTGAAAAGTTTGCTAGATTTAAATCCATTAACGCGTTTTCTCTGCTTTAGAATACACCGCTGTTGGAGGCTTCTACAAATGGTCACGACGACATAGCGAAATATTTGATCAAAATCGGTGCAGATATCAACGCGAAAGACGCACTTGAAGTAAAAATATCATTAAAGAATTTTCTTTAGTCTTTATAATCTCAACCTAGTGAGCTTTTTGCTAGTTTGGTGGTCAGTTATTCACAAAGAACTTTAACAAAAATGCCGGAACAGTCAGCAAAATCACTAAATTTTTCTGAAAAGTTTTATAGCCTATAATTTTCTCAACTGTAAGTCTGTGACTGTGTTGGACTGTATACTGTACTGGTAAATTTATTTTGCTGTAGCTTCTGCTTTGAGTTTTCATAACGAAATTCAGCCGGTATAATTAAAATTAATTGATATATGAAAAATAATAGTAATTTTTTAAAAAATAATTTTTCTGCAAATATGCAAACTTTGCTTTGACCTGATTGAATTGTTTTCTGCCGCAGCTAGTCTATTTCTTGTTTTTAAGCGTATTGTGTAATTTACAATCTCATGTAGGCAACCCTTCTGTATCGCATTTTGCAAATTGCTTTGGTCAAATTATCACCATCCTAGCAATATTTCGTGAATCTTAGTGAAGAGAAATTGCAGCTTAAATTTCTTTGTTTTTCAAAAACAGAGAAATTTGGTAAGACAAGGTTTCCTCTGAAATACGTATCACCTCTCTTCCTCCCTTTTCATTATTTTTAGTTTTTCCTGTTCTCTGATCTAGCTTCTCGACTGACAGCTCCTTTAAAAAGCGCTGACGGAAATGGCGATGGAGAACGGAGCTATTCTATCAAAAGTGATAAGAAATTTAATATAAAGTGCAAGCGGAAAAAGTAGACGATTAAGAAAAAGGATAAAAGAATTACATTACGAAGGAGAATGGAACTTTTTTAATTACAACGTCTGCAAAATTTTTCTGGCAATTTTTAAGCACTTTCTTACCTGAGCTTTTTTCTGAGAACCTTCTTGGTTTTGATGTTGTACAGCGAAGCAAGATAGAGTTTGTTGATTTTAGATTCTTCCAAAACGGTTATAAAGTCAGCACTAGAAGCCTATAACCACATTACAAAATATTCCAAAATTTCGAAATTTAGGGACTGCCCTATTTCTGCCTCTCACATTCCTCACTTACAATCTTCTGATTTACCAGACAAGCTTCTTTTACAAATAGTCTTATCAAAGCTCCTCCTTACAAAAAAGCATTCCTTCTCCTCTGCAACAATTTTCTTACTATTTTCGTTTCACATTTACTTTCTGAAGTTATATTCTTAATTTTTTCAGTTTTTTTTGCCGTAATTCTAAGTTTATTACTTATAAATTTGAATTATATAATATATCCATTCAAAAGATGCATTTTTAAAAACAGCTTCAAAGGTCTGCAATAGTTTAGGAAACATCGTTGTGGAAAGCCTGTTCAAACGGTCATTTTTGTGTAGCAAAATGCCTCGTAGACGCTGGAGCCGATGTAAATGCAAAAAATATGCGTAAAGTAAGATTCTCTTGACGAAGTCGAGATGCTATTCAAAAACTGAACCACTTGCTTTTGAATCTAAGCTCTTAGTCGATTATCGTTAAATTTTTTTTATTTAGGTGCAGAAGTAAGCAAGTCCCCCTCTTCATACAGACGAAAAATATATATGTCTGTTCACAAAGGAATAAATTTAAGCAAAATACAATTTATAATTTGCAACGAATTTTACAGCAAGTAGATTCTTAAGTAAAATTTTGAACCAGTTCTTTGTCTGTTTCAGAGAACACCGATATGTGAAGCTGCATCAAAAGGAAAGGTCGATTTAGTAAGATACCTGGCGGAAAAGGGAGCCGATATAAATGCCAGCGATGATATGGAGGTTAAAAATACCAGAAATTTGTTTTCTTACGCATTAAATACTTTTCTGCACTGCCAGGCAAGCGGAGGTGTAAGTATTTTTTGCGGGTAAAGATCGGGGTAAATTAAGAAGTTTCATTCTGATTTTAGGAAACGCCGTTATACAAAGCCTGTTCGGTTGGTTACCTCAACGTCGTCAGGTGCTTGCTAGAAAAACAGGCTGTTTTCCACACGATGGGCGGCAAAGCGGTACGCCTTCATACAATAACCAAAAATTATTTATACTTTTGATCTTTTCGTATATTGCTTTATTCTGCTTTGATTACTATCAAAAAAAGTTTCCAACAGAGACTAAACTAACATTAGACTTCTTAAATTTCCTTTGTTTTTGAAAACGTTAGAAAAACATTGAATGATTTTGAGGTTAATATTTTGTATTTTTTAGGTGAACACTTTCCCTTGAGAAAAACTGTAATCCCTCTGTCCACTGGTGCTTTCTATCTTTACTTTTTTTTCCTTGTGCCTCCTCGTCATAGATTGTTTGCAAGTAGGGGCTTAGAGAGGGAAAAAACCGCAAAATAGAAAGTGTGCAATTGGAAGAGAAAAAAAAAAAAACAAATAAAGTTCTTAACTTCTTAAACTGATGATAATTTCTAGCCAATATCATGAAAGTATTAAAAATTTGAGAATCTAATTAAATACTTAAATAGACCTGTTTGAGCAGCTGTTAAAATTAAACCTGTAGGTGCATATTTCGTTCTTTAGAGTGTTTTAGCAGCAAATTCTTCTACTCTTCTGTCATAGCACCATTTAATAATCATTTTAATGCTCACGAAAGCCATAATAAAGCAATAATTTTACTCGTTTGTTTGTGACGAACAGTTTAAGTGAATATTTTGTTCTTTAGAAGGAACCACTTATTGCTGCGTCTGCAAATGGACATATCGCAGTCGTGAGGTACTTGGTGGGTAAAAGAACAGGTGTGAATATAAAGAATACTTCCGGGGTAGGATTTTGAAACAGAAAGTGATCAAGTTGACTCAAGATCAATTTTGAAAAGATTTGGTTTTCGCCTTTTTTTCTTTCACGCATTGGTCCAGCTAAAGAAAAAATTCAGAACTTTTCGTAATACTTTGATTTTGACAAACTGTAGTATTTTCACCAGAATTTAAAACTTTTTTGTTGAGCCAGCTACAGCTTCCATTTATGTGAAAAATTTTTTTACAGCTCAACGATCTTGATTTCTGTCAAAAAGTGCTTATTTTCTTGCCTAAAAATTACTTCGCTAATTTGTTTAAATCTTTAAATAAGTCCTCTTACCTAGGATGATTTATCAGCTATTCCTTGCTCATTGTGTAAGCAACATTTTATTACACTTCTTGTGCACTAATTGTTTTTGCTTACGATATTTTTTAAGAAACCAAACAATAAACGTAGATACAACATTTCTGCTAAAAGAGGTAACATTAAATTAGAGTACAAATTATGAAAGCAGCGATATTTAAAGTTTCTACAAAACTGAAAAACAGCTTTCTGCTTTTTTTTCTCACATTTTGATCCTGCAACGAACTGAACCCAGGAACAACTTACTTTGCTTTAGAGAACACCACTCTTGGAATCATCTCGAAATGGAATTATTGAGACTGTCAGATATCTACTGGGAAATGGAGCTGAAGTCAATGCTAAAGACAATTCAAGTGTAAAGTTTTATTACGACATTTAAGAGAGCTTATTATAAAGTCATCAAGAAAAGCTCGTCAGTAAACTTTATAAAACATTTTTGATACAAAAGATGCCGTTAAAGGTTGTTACTGCTGGCATTAGTGGTTGCACACATTTATACACTGAACATTCTCTATTTATAGCACCTTATTCTTTTCAATTTTGCCATAAATCTTCGCTAGAAAGTTCTCATATACTCTTTTGTTCAATTTCCTCTTGAAAATCTACTGCGGTTAAACGTCCAAGCTAAAGATGATTTTCATTATTTTTTTACAGTGACAATCAATTTACTTGAAAACGGATTTTTTGCTTCAGAGAACACCGCTTATGGAAGCATCTTGTTATGGGCATCTAGCAGTGGTTCAAGTTTTGGTGGACTATCGTGCTGATCTGAACGCCAAGGACGATCGTGGAGTAAAATTTATTTCGTTAAAAACCCAATCTTTTGCAGGCGTTAAAAACTATAAGTTTTTCTAGTTGGCTCGTTAAAATTTTTCTCTGGTTCAAAGATAAATTCAAAAAAGCAGTACTTTATGGTAAAGATCATCTTCTGCTCATTATTCTCACTATACAGTTTTTATTACCTTTTTCTTGACTTTGAAATTTACTTTTTCCTTAATTTCTGTGTCTAGAACACAGAGTACCAATTTCTTGTTGGCTTGCCTTCCCGGTATACCGTCTCACTATTACAGTCAAAAAATAATAGATTATTAGAACTTATTCTTGGGTTCACTACAGAATTTTTTTCTTCTTGAAAAGCAGTCAGCTGTCACTTGCTTACAGTGTAGACGGAGGCTAAAGTGAATTAAGTGTTTCTTTATGAACACATCTAATCGTAACAAAATGCACTTGTTCAGTAATGTTTCAGCGCTTATAGAGGATCTGTTTCTGAACGGAACTTTTGTTCATGATAAAACTAGGTATTATTTAATAACTGAAAAAGAAACAGACAGCGGGCTGATATCACTCACCTCTAAGTCAGATGGCAAAGCGGAATTCTAGTAGCTTTTGGTAGTAGTCACAACTGGCATCTCCGTAGCAATTTTGTACTGGTGCTCGCGACTTCTTCTGTAATAAATGGTTTTATAATGCTATAGTTCGTTGAAACAAAAAATGAGGATAGACAGAACTAAATGCATAGAAATTATAAATTAGTTCTTGTTTTGAGAGTAGTTTTTAAACTTAACTTTTTAAACTTTTTAAAAAACCTTAATCTCTTTGTCAAAACTGTGAAGTGTTCTTGAGAATCATTTTGCGCTCGCACATTTCTGCTTTAATATCGTAACTTTTTTGTCCTATGAAGTTCTTTATTGTACAAAATTTAGGTGTGGAGTGCCTTTCAAGCACGGCATTTTCTTAACAAGCAGCTTTGTTTATATAATTCAGAAATTAATATTAATTGTTAGGATATATAAAAGTGAGAAAAATTTGTATAACTGATAAAATCTTTCATTTTAGAGAACAGCACTTTTGGAAGCAGCTTTGAATGGTCACTGTGATGTCGTAACTTTTTTGACGGAAAAGAAGGCTGAAATTGATGTGGAAGATGAAAACGGGGTGAAGGGTTTTAAAAATTCGTGATTCCTGATTGCCTTTCTAAAGACAATTTAAACTTCTTTTAACTGTTCTTCTGTGCTCAAATTTTATTTTGATATTCAGTTAAACTTTATAAGTTAATTTAATTATTTTTGTCAAAGGCTCTGTAATTCAAGGTATAATTTATACTATCAGAAACGGCTACATTTTTTGGAATCAGAACATGCTGAAAATACATGAGTTACTTATTTATTAAGTTTCAGATATCACCGTTACTCTGTGCAATTCGCTTGGGAAATTACAGTGTAATTGAAAGCCTAATAAAAAATGGAGCAGATATCAACAGAAAAAATAAATACGGAGTAAGATGAATTGCAATAAATAATCTTAGCATTAACAAGAGCAAATTTTTATTCTTTTATTTAAATACATTTGAGTAATTACTCAGCCATATAAGATCAAATACTTATGTTTTTTTTTCAGCGAACACCACTGATTGAAGCCTCTTCAAATGCGCATATTGCCATCGTCAAAAACCTGGTAAAACTAGGAGCAAACGTTAATGAAACGGACAAACGAGGGGTAAGACTTTAAGGTTGAAAAAGTCTGCAGCAAAGTCTATTTTTGCTGCTTTTGCAATTTCTATAACTTTGTAGCAGTAATTCTGAAGAAAAGTCTAGTTTTTTCTGAATCAGGCACAGAAGTGTTCCTTCCATCCGGGATTGTATGCTAAAACTTGAAGCTATCAGTCCCACCAAACTGAAGAAACTAACGATTTGCTTAAAGTTAAATTAGAAAACTAGATGACCTACCAATATCATTTTATTGTTTCAGAGAACAGCTCTATTTGAAGCTTCTAGATATGGATGCTTCGACGTAGTTTTATTCTTGACCAAAGTTGGAGCTGACCCAAATAAACGTGAAGAAACTGGGGTAAGAACAGTCACAAGAGTTCTTCGGTCTTAAGTATAGCCTCTTCAGAATTTTTAATTTAATTCGTCTGGCTCATATTTGTGTAGGCATCTTCCTTCTTAAATGTCATTAAATTGTATTGTAGTGAGCAATAAAAGTCAAGCAAGTAAAAAACATAACAGTTTAATTATTCTGACTTAGGAGACGGCGATGACAAAAGCTTCTTCACGTGGGTACACGGCAATAGTTGCGCAGCTGCGAAGAGCGATAGCTAAGTTCCATACAACAAATGCATCAAAAGTAAAATTTTTTGTTTTCAAAAATCAAGAAGTTTTTGCCAAATTTTCTCTTCGGGTCTCTTAATTCCCACAGTTTTTTTCTTCGACTCGTGCTGTCAGTCCCCGTCATTCAACATGAACCATGCTTTTATTAGAAAAACAGTGGGAAGCATATAAACAAGCACCAGAACCCAACAGAAGGATATCTTCGCTGATTTATTTATTTTTTTGGATGGTACTGAGGCTTCCAGCCTGAATAAACTCATGCACTGCATTGACTGTTTGTAGATCGAAACAAACTTCTTACTACTCTTTGTTGAACTTATTCGAAGTAAAGCTTTCTATTTTTGAGAACCAAAGAATGCTTGTCAGAGTTTTCATGCAGAAATCTTCTTTAATTTAAAGCTTTTTTTTTTTCAAAGTGTATTGCAGATTTTATTATACAAGAAACATTTCTCTTCATTCTAATGGTATTTAACGGAAGCTTTAGGGATGATAACCTTTAGTCTTTGCTTCGTTTATGATAGTGCCTTGTGATATCAGTTGCTTGCTCTTTGTACTTGCTCATATACCATGAAATTTTCAAATGTAATAGACAATATACCTTGAGAGGGTCCAGGTGCACTCAAGAGACCGTCTGGAAAAGAGCCCATCTCAATTCTTCAGCATTTCGCACCATTGCTTCCCTCCTTGCTATACTTTTTTGCAATTTCAAGGATAGGATGACGAAGTCTGCTCTATGCAAGAATTTACCCGTAAATTTGCTTAACAATACACATATTAAAAAATTGCTTATAATTGTTTTCTATTGCCTCCATTGGCGCATCGAAAATAATTTATAGTCGCTTTCCTGTAACGCCCATTTCCGTTCATTTTCAAAATAATTAATTTCTTGTTTTTCAGCCACATATTTTTGATGGTCATCACTTTTTCTAACCACAAACAAGCTTCAGTTCATCACAAACTAAAATGTTAATAAGAAAGAATACTCAAATTGAGTGTTATTTGAACATATTAGGATAGTACATTGATACAGGTAAAATTAGCTTTTTTATTTCGTCTTTCATGAGTTTTTTATGCCCCTAATGCCCATTCTTCTTCATATGTCTTCTCAGCACATTCTCTTCTTGTTTCTGTTTCTCAGCCTTCGAATCGCATCGCATATTTTTCTGCTGCAGCTGGTACATGTAAATGCCGCAGTTAGGTTAAAATACCAAAATTACTTTGCGATCCGGTCTATTACCGAAGTTGTTTCCCCCAAATTTTCTTCAAAATCTAACGAGCTGCAAATCTGCAGACACGTGATTTTGCAGTTGTTTGACCGTTCTTAATTAATCCAAATATACTTTTTCAATAACAGGTCTTGGGTTGCGCATAAACAGTTGGTACATGTTCTGGGCCCTGAAGGTTTGTTATCGGTAATAGCATAACGAAAAAGCTGTGTGGTATCGAGTTAAAACAAAAATTGGCATAATATATGAAGAAAGAAAATCAGATTATAAATTAAACTTTTGGGCTAATCCGCAGCAGTAGTAAGACCTTTTTAGATGTGGAACAAGTGAAACGTGATTTGAACCAAACATAACCAATACATTTACGGTTATTTAGCTAGAAAATGTAAATTTTTCAGCTTTCTCGTACTGTAAGGGACAGTCAGATAAACAGTCCAGTTAAACAAACTTGTCTTGTCTGGTAGCTTTATCCTGGTAAAAGCTCTCCGCTGACTTCGCTCTCCTCAGCTATAGTTCGCAGTATTAAATGGACGGGTTTACAAGTTGCCCACTGTATGTAGTGCTGTATCCTATAAGTTAATCGAAAGAGGATACTAGGAGTTTTTAAACCGAAGGACTTTGTCAGGCGAGCAGTCTAAACTGCTATTTTTGAGCCGCAATTACATGTACTGTGGAACACACGCGAAAACTCATACACGAACGTATCAAGTGGCTGGAATTCTGCCAACAAGTAATTTTTTACATTGCTGCGATGCTGATTGGAGCTCGCAGCTGTTTTAAAACCGGCTTTTCGTGTTGTCTGGACGATCGGTGTGTCTTTTTTTATTCAGGACATGTACGCATTTTTCTGCCTAATTTTTTCCTTGTTTTTTTGTTGCTGAAAAATATGTACTTTTACTGAGAGGATTGCTTCAGAAATACAAGTGGGTTTTGCTCCACAAGCGAGGCAGGAAATCTGCATTAGGTACTTGTGTTACTTAAGGATATCAATGGTAACTTTCGTAGGGAGCGAGGAGAGGAGGTGAGGAGTCGGATGTTTAATTCTGATTGCAGTAGCCCTCATAAATGGCTTAAGAAATTGTTGTTCAGAGACGAATTTGTAGGCTTGGATCTGGTAAACTTGGGTGTTCGGGAAGATTGATCGGGACCTCTTTTTTTACCTTTCAACATTTACAATAGACGGCGACAGTTAGTAGTTAGGGGGTGACATGTCATGGGCCAATAAAACAGCTTTTAGAGTATTAACGGGACTCATGACACTCATAGTTACCAGGGTAATGGGTAGGAAAATTTTCTGCTAAATAAATTTGGTGGGGTTTAGAAATAGATGTTAAATTAGTTAGGGTAATTTATATTGCTGGGTTAATTTGTGTCTTGATGGTGCAATTGCGGCATTGCAGGACGTCTAGGTTCTTGGTTACTGTTTCTTACCAACTCTTTCTTTTTTTCTTTTAACCAGTTGAGTATTGAGGCTTTTTTTCGATTCTGAAAATTGTAACTTCGTGATCTTCTTATAAATAACTTCGTGATCTGATGTCATGGGCCAATAAAACAGCTTTTTTGCCCACTGTAAGTGGTGGTTTGGGAGAGGAGTTTGAATCATTCAAGAAACATGTCGGTTTGGACAGCGCAAAGGCGTTTTTTGAGAACCTTAAACTAAGCTGAAGCACTAATGCAGGAATGTTGTCAAATGTTT